AAATCCTAAAATAGATCCCCGTGTAATTCAAAATCCATTCAAAATTCATTAAATCCAGCATTCTTGTGTTAAATGTTTATTTATCTTTTTCAATTAAGCGTTATCTGAGTAGTTTTACACCAAAATTACTGTATTTTTTTCTTCTCATCCTGACTCATCCTGCACTCAGGGACATTAATAGGATTTAAACATTTAAAAAGCTTTATTGAAGCTAACTATCCAATCAAATACATCCCAACGTTATGTCATGCCTTCTGTCTTGTAGCAGTTAGATACTCCCCAAGTTCTATTTTGTGGGGACTTTAATAAAGACTTTAATGAGGTTACTCATGTTTCTATAATATTATTTCTGTAAAGCTCCATATTTCAGCCAGGTATGGGCTCATACAGAGGCAAAATTAGTTGGGTCGAGTTTGTCTGGATGCATAACAGTCAAGAGAGGAAACCAAAATGTTGCCTTCCTCCCGCTTTAAAGCCCCAGGTACAGCTCTAACAGACTAGTTGACTGTTTTCTCTCCAATACTTTCTCTGTCCCCACAGGCTCCCTCATGTGACGCATCAAAATGCTACAAAGTAGCATAAAACACATCAGTAATAGGATAAAGTATGAGCTAAAATTCATTTTTAAAGCAGTGAAGCGCAAACTTAGAGTTTGCTTTTAACAATACATTGATGTGACCTTGCACTGATGGATGAAGGATGGATCAGAAAAGCATTTCCATCACATGCAGCCTTCCCATTAAGAGTTTTGTAAAACAAGGAGGGGTCAGGGGGAACAGTTGAGGCTAAAATGTGTTGTGTACTTGAGCCGTGGAAATTTTTCTGTCTGTTTTTTAACCCTAGTTAAAGCCCGGACATGATTTTTGAGAAAAGCTTCATAAAGGCTGCAGCACGTTCACAATCACATTATGGAAATCCTGAAAAATGTCAGTGATTGTAATGGGTTTTTAAAATGTTAGAGAAACATAGCTGACCACTCAGTAATGCACAGTTTCTCTGTCTGGACTATTTAAGGCCCATCAAGAAAAAAAACCTTGAGTTCTGTACTGTTTTCACACAGAGCTGGAGGATTTAAAAAAAAAAAGAGGAGCAAAGAGCAGGTTCAATTAGATGGACAGGATTCTAAGAGTGTTGTATCAGTTTAGGATTACCGCTTTGCAAAGAGACAGAAAAAAAACAACAACTTTAATCTGTCTTTATTGTCTGGGTATCAGCTTTTAGTTCTGATCTCTTTCTACCTGCATCTTTGGGCACAAAAAGCATTATAAGCCCTAAATGTTCTAGAAACGAGGCTACAGTGCAAACTCTTGGGTTAACTATTCGTAGGCAAGAAAACTGAAATCATCTGCAGCCAGGGACGTTTCGACTACAATTTTCAGAAAATCATGCTCACAATATAAGAGATACACTACCTGAGGAAATTCAGCTTCACCAAAGTCTTGAACTCAGATGATCACACAAACACAAACCTATATATGTGATGTGTGTGATAATATGAAGAAGTATGTATTTTATATAAAGTTAAAGTTTGATGCAAACATCTACATGTTGCTGTATGACTCCTATGGCAAATTGTTACGATAGTAATTTTTCTAAATGCAGTTCATGCAGAAAAGAAAAACATTTCATTAACAGGAGAAATTTTGGCTGAGGGCTTTTGAAACCTCAGGAGATCAATTAGAAAAAAAGGCTCTAGTTGGTTGTTTTTACTTCTAGGTCACTCAGAGTAAAGGGCGAGCAGGGGTTAATCTCAGGAGACACAAGTAAGGGGTTTTGTTTGTATAGCTTGTTGGTTGATGATTATTACTGACATTTGCAGGTAAAACACAAGTATTTGTTTTGCTCTGGAGATACAGATTTGTTCACGACAACTAGAGGCCATTTTGGCATGAAAGGCTCAATGCATCAAAGTACAAAAGCACGGTTTAATGAAGTATGTGTATTACATAACATTCCCATCCCCTGGGTAATATCTCAGCAAGAATCCATCACTGCTTATCCAATGACCTTGACTTGCACCTTCGTGCGTGATTAACATGGATTGTTTTAGCAACTCTTTGAGAGTCTGGAGGCAGAATACAGAGGTGAAGTACAGACTGGGAAGTGCTTTTTTTTATTCTTTATCCGCTCTGGCCCCTTCATCTTCATATAAACATGATCCATTTGAAAGTGAAAAACAGTTTAAGGAATTATTTGTACTCCTAAGGTTCTCCTAACATAACATGTTGTGTAATTTCTCTGAATGACTTCACTTAATACCATCACACCTGAATTTTATAATACATTTTTCATATGTTAATAACTCAAACCACATAGAATAGAGTAGGCAAACACACAGTCATATCCTCACACACACATGCAAAAACACACACACACACACACACACGTGCGCATGCGCTTACACATAAAGACATTTAGAAAAAATGGTTAAATCGCAATTTTTTAAAAGCTGATTTCACTCTAAGCCGAAAGCTGAAATGAGCTTTAAATGCAGATTTACAAATCATGCTGGATTACAGAATACTCAGGTGGTTGGCTTCAGCAGCATCTAAACTACAACTAAGACCACAGACAGGCTGTGTGTATAACTGTCGACACTCCTGATTAAAACAGGTAACCAACACGTCTTCATTGTTGTCTACTGGATAGCCCGAGAAAATGTAAGGTTACACCTTTTTTGAAACATTATTAATGAAGAAGTCGCCTATAGGAAGAGGGCATACCATGTTTGTTACTTATTAAAAGTGATATAATATTCGATTCTCTTAACATCTTAAAATCAACCTTAAATCAAAAAGCTTTCTAATCCAATTAAAAAAGCGAGGGGCTTCTTTTGCAGAGCAGTTGTCGCTCAGAGGATTATGTGCTGCGTGAGAGCAGTTCAGCTGCTATCTGACTCTCCTCTTTGCTCCAAAGATTAGTGAATAATACGGCCGCAGCCTGGGGACCTGAGAGAAACAACTTGATTATGAAGCTTTCACTTATTAGGTGCTGCAGGACGTCTTTTTATAACTTCTTTTGTTGATTCCCTGAATTTAACCCTTTTCACGGTAATTCCCTATATTTCATGGAATAAGGGAAGCTGGTCACAGTCTTTCCCAGAATGCATTGTTTTACATTGTATGGTTGTTTTATCATGGGACACGGGATGTGAGAGTTGTTTTCCAGGATTGGGTCAGGATTGTCTTAGTGCCTTGAAATGTGAACATTAACAGAAGAGTGTAGACCTGGAGAAATGAGGAAGTGCATTACAGAGTACATGCAGACTTGATCCTATAAAAAGAGGGTGACATTAAAAGTAATATGGCTGCTTTTAAAAAAAACACTGTGATAAAAGTATCCTTAATAGAAATCTTCTTAAACATATCTTGACTTTTATCGAGTTAAAGGTGCTCTGGACAGTATTTTCTCTTTTTCTATATTTTATTTTGTTTAATTTAAACACAATGATCAACAGAAAACGGCACGAGGGTTAGCATATATTTTGATATAGTTTGTAATATGTTTATAAGTGTGACATGAGAACTTCATATTTTCTAGAAAAACTTTTGATAAATGGTTGGTCCCTATGGTATAGTTTCTCCACAGACGACTGTTACTCCAAGCCTAGAGGGAAACCAGACGTAGCATAAGAGAGACCCTCTCCTTCCTCACTCCCGATGATGAGCAACAACCAAATGAATTTTTTATTCCAAGACAATGAATTTATTTACAGCACAAAGACAGACAGACACACAAACAAGAAAAGAGCAAAAAGCCCCACAAAGGCAGAGCCAATGATAATAAACATACACTTTAATAACACATGTGACTCACAGTCATAACACATCAGAGCTCTGGTCAATGTTTTCTACATTAAGTGAGCTTATTGAGAGTTAGTTTGAACATGTGCTTTCTATTGACAAACCCTCCAAAGCCTTTTATCATCTTTGAGCTCATTGTTTTGGTCTTCCCACCCATCGCGTTACCATTGTGATTTACTCAAATTGGCTTCCTGACATTTGTTTCTAAAGCTCTTATGCAATCATTTAACACGATAATAAAGTGTTAACTGCTGGTTGTAAAAATACAAACAACAAAAACAGATTTTAATTTAAATTCAGAGAATCTTTTTCACTTTTTCAAATGTCTGATAAAAGCCAATATGTAACGTACTCGTAACATAATCTGCAGAACTTATACAGGTCAAGTATGGATGTTTTTGTTTAGGCATGTCATGACGTCATGACAGAAACTGTTGGGTTTGTAGCAGCCTGTGTAATGACAAACTTAATAAACTGCAGAACATCTTTGGTACCCTTCTAATGCGATCCGCATCAAACTCTGAGTCACACGTCAAAAAGTCCATCTTTGCTATTGAAGTAACACATTGCAAATCTTAAGTGTGAGTGGAGCTAGCATGGATAGCAGCTCTGCAGGAATCAGGTACAGTCATACCAACCATGAGCCCGGATCGAATGCACACAGACCGAGCACACAAACAAATATTATTGGACCAAAAGACTAAACACAGGACTGAAGTGTAATGTTCTGTATGTGTCTGAAAATAATTTGTCTTTTTTTTTGATGTAACTTTTATCAATATCATCTTGACCTTTGACCTTACTCCCTGTAATTATCTATAATTTCTGTCTAAAGCAAAATCTTGCAACAGTTTTCTTTTCTTTTGCCCTTTTAGATCCTAGTTATTTTTTGTCGGCACTCTCTCCTATTTGTCTCTGCCCCCTGCTGTCTCCTTACAATGAGAACCTTCAAACCATGTTAGAGTAAGACATAGTTTTCAACCAAAAATGACAGCGTTGAAATTGCAAGGCCACAACAGTTACATTGAAATTCTAATGTTCAACTTGCCCTTCTAGTGTGAATTTCTTTGCCCTAGAAAATGTCATTGCATTTCAACACAAGGATATGATTTACAACTTGTAATTTGAGCCTGACTCCAGAAAGCCTCTGATCATCAGCTCTAAGTCTTTCTCGTGTTTGGTGTTTCTGTGTTTCAGGTGATGGGAACCCCAAAGAGAGCAGTCCTTTCATCAACAGCAGCGCAGCCAGCGATGCAGAGAAGAGCCAGCAGTACGACGGCAAAAATATGGCTCTGTTTGAGGTGAGGACAGCTTCACTACCCTTGGATGTTAAAACCTCACTCATTGCTGTTGAACTCGTTAAAATGAGGGACATCTGTTTTATTACACCAAGTCTGATGTAACTGCCTGTTACTGTGTTTGTGTCTTGCAGGAAGAGATGGATACCAGTCCAATGGTCTCCTCTCTGCTTAGCAGTCTGGCAAACTACTCAAACCTGCCGACCGGCAGCAAAGAGCACGAAGAGGCCGAGAATAACGAGGAGGGGGCACGTCCGTCTAAAAAACCTGTCAAGGTAGAGTAAGGTCAACCAGGCATCTGAGAGCAAAGGCTGTAGTTGATCTTATTATTCATGTCAGTACATAGTACCAGGCCCAGTTCTAGAACAAAATGACTTGCAGGGTGCATCTGAGATTAAACGGGGTGCAGCTACAGTGACCGACAACAGCGATGAAAAACACCTTAGGTGGTATGGGTCTCTCATGTGGTCCCCGCTGAACGGAAAGGTCACATGCACTGTAAAGCCCATCAGATCATGGATGTAATAAACACGATCTGAGTCGATTATGTCATTTGAAAGCCTGGATTACTTTTTTTTTTTAACTATCGTTATTTTTTTGCGTCCATTCAATTGAAGTTGCAGAAATTTAAAATGAGGGTGCAATGCAACCTTTTGCACCCTCGTAGAACAAGGAGAGAGTGCCCGACCAGGCCCCAGACAATAGAGAGGAGTACCTAAGATGAGAAGTGGATGGAATGGTGGATGTGAAGTTTTACCCCATTAAAAGCAGTAGAGATCTCTTCTTCTATCACAGGAAAAAAAAGATACAACATGAAAACACGTTTTGATAAAAAAAGGTCTGTATAAACAAGATTGGTAGTGATAGTAGTAGCTCCATCACGTAAATTAAATACCTCATTTTAGTGTTTTTAAACTAAAACTGCTGCCGCTGGCAAGGCAAAGTATATTGAAAGAGGCCAAACAAAACAATGGGTAAATGATAGATTCCAACCAAATAAAAATCCATGTGGGTAAGCTGCTTCTGAAGCGAGTTGCACATACTCTGACATTATCACCTTCCTGGTCTGGGTTTCACAGGTTCCACAGCTAGGCACTTTGATGGGTGTGTACCTGCCATGTATCCAGAACATTTTTGGGGTGATCCTCTTCCTGCGGATGACCTGGATGGTTGGGATCGGTGGCGTATTGGGCTCCTTCATCATTGTCTTCATGTGTTGTTCCACGGTGAGTAAATCTGCAGGCGTCCCTGCCTGTCGTATATCCGTTGTGCAACACATCTGTGGTTCACAGAAAACAGATGTCACATAAAAAGACATGCCTGTTGAATTTAACAGGACAGCTGTAAACTTTTGCCACAAGGTTCCTTAACTCTTGTGTGTTTCTTAAGCACATAAGTACTCAGTTACTAGAGTTTGTGTTTAAACTGTAAAAAGGATGCTTGATAATTATGTGCATTGCACAGATTCCAAAGGTAATGTAAAATGCCACCATATTCACCACCATCGCTGTTTTTTCACACCTATTTACTGCTATACTAACAAGGTTTAACTAGAAATAAAAAGTACCTATGCTGCTTTAAACCCCAGACAGAGCTGATGTAAAATTGTAAAATTAAGTTTAACAAAACGTGTTTAAAACTGAAAATCCACTCTTACCTTTTTATGTTTATGCATTCTCTGATTGATAATCTGATTTGCAGAACAGAACAGACTCCATCGGGCTGCTGTGTGTCCCTGCTAATTATTTTGCATATTGCTTTACTACAGATTTGTTTGTTGATAACCCTCAGATTAAAGTAAATCATTCTCATTGTCCCAAGTCTAAATGCTTGATACAACAGTTTATTTTAAGTGCATATGCAAGTGCTGCAGTTTTGAATATTCTTTTCACTAGAACTCTCATTAATTGTTCCAACAAAAATATTTGGATCAACTTATGCAGAATGACATCCACAAGTTTCCATTATGTTCATATATAAATGCATTGCATACAACAATTAGACGCAATAATAAGAGGTTTAAATTACTCAAATTATTAAATTATTTTCATGAGTCAGTCACTTTCACTGTGGTGGAGTTAAAAACTTTTAAACTGACCAATAAGGTCTCTTTTCATTTAAAAAATCCAGAACCCTATTTATCATTTTTATGCCTCCAGTTGAGAAAGGATGGAAAATATAGAAAAAGAGGAAGAACACCAGAAAGAAAAAAAAAATAAGCCTGATTAATGTTTAAAGAGTTTACACAATGTTAGATATCAAATCTACAAATAAGTTTGTACATTTTAAATTAATTATGAACATTAATACTCAAAACACAAAGCCATTCATAGAAGAAGCTATCGTAAAGTAAAATGAAATAAAATAAATACATTATGAACCACAGCATTAAAAAATAAATTATTTTAAAAAACAAGATTTTAGCAGGGATTTAAATGACAGGCTACCTTGTGGGTTTTTTCATGATGGAGGCGGCCTGAATACTTTAAGCACCCATTTCCCAGACTTGGGCAGGATACCTTTGTCTGGTATGAACAGGCTAAGTTGTTCATTTTGATGCTCCAATGTATATTATGAGATGAACATAATATACATATACATATACACCTCATATATACATCCCCACCTGCTGCCTCTCAGACTCTGCTCTGTCACCCTGCTCTGTTTCAGACCATGCTCACAGCCATCTCTATGAGTGCCATCGCAACAAACGGAGTGGTACCCGGTGAGTGGACATCTGTGGGGTGCAATAATTGGCTTTACGTATGAAAGAACTGTGCTCTGACTCTTGAACATATGGTGTTTGTGACTCAAAGCTGGAGGCTCATATTACATGATCTCTCGCTCCCTGGGGCCTGAGTTTGGAGGAGCTGTTGGCATCTGCTTCTACTTAGGCACCACGTTTGCAGGTGCCATGTACATTCTTGGCTGTATTGAAATCTTGCTTGTAAGTAGCCTTATTTTCTCATTACTCACATAATGATGGTTTATATAGTGTCTGTTTTCCCTCCTTGCTTATTCTATATGCAGGCCCTTATAACTACAAACATTTTCAGGAGAAAAGATACAGGTGTGATTGGTGGCTTATTGGGATAAAGAAACTCTATTTCATTCCTTTCTACTTTTATTGACAATATTAAAGCTTACATTTTGATGAAATGAATTGAATTTGAATGAATGAAAATGGATTTTAAGATCTTTTAGTGATTGAAAATCAAACACGTCCTTGCATCCTTAACCAATTCACTTTTTGAACATAGGTCCATTTTGGATGACCAAACTTCTCCACCATACTCCACCACATTCTCCTTCCTCTACATCCGATCCCTCCATATATCCATCCTGTCAGATTTATATCGTTCCCCAGGCTGCCATATTTAAGATTGAGGGCCTGGAGGGGGCCGAGGCAGAGGCGGCTCTCCTCAACAACATGCGGGTCTATGGCACCATTGTACTGAGCTTTATGGCACTGGTGGTGTTTGTCGGAGTCAAGTATGTGAACAAGCTGGCGCTGGTCTTCCTGGCATGCGTCATCCTCTCCATCCTGGCTGTTTACGCTGGGGTGATTAAGACCGCCCTTGACCCTCCCGTGTTTCCGTAAGTGATTGTTTTTTGAGGAAAAGTCTCCAGATATGATGATAGTTTATGACTATTATTAACTTCCTTCACAGTGTCTGTCTCCTTGGAAACCGTACTATTCTATCCAAAGGATACGATATCTGCGCAAAGGTTATCGAAATAGACAACGACACCGTCACCACCAAACTGTGGAGGACCTTCTGTGATTCTGACAGCATCAACGCCACATGTGACGATTACTTCAATACCAACAATGTCACAGAGATTCAGGGTATCCCTGGGGTCACAAGCGGCATCCTTGCAGGTAATAGACGCCTATTAATCTTAAAAACCAAACCCTTTGAGGATCAAACAATCTGAAGCCCCTTTCACACATGTGCTCTTGAAAATGATCCAAAATAAAATCAAGACCTGCTTGCATCAACTTTTACATGGGGGGGCTGGGATGGAAAAAGTCCTGGTAAAGTTGGTTGGAATCAGTTTGAGTTCACACATGCAGCTCACCTCAAAGTTTTCATTAAATAAAAACAGTAACACACTCATTTAAATCATTCTCTTAGAAAACCTGTTCGGGAACTACCTGGAAAAAGGTATGTTCCTGGAGAAACGTGGGCTTCCCTCAGACGCAGATCCAGACAGTCCCCCAGCGGGCTCCAACCGCTACGTCCTGGCCGACATCACCAGCTTCTTCACCCTGCTGGTCGGGATTTATTTTCCATCTGTCACAGGTTGGTACATAAAAAAACAAGTTGTTGACAGGCTAAGGGGCTGTTTTTAAGAATAGCATATTTAAAGGCTCTCTGTAGCTTGTTGCACCAGCTGTGTTCAGTTAAAAAGGCTTTGGCATTGTCAATAAACAAAAAGTTAAAAACTTTTCTGACTGAATTATACTCATAGACCACACTAAGACTATTTCATGTATATTAACCTGGACAGAGCAGACAGGGCAGAATGAGATTTGTGCAAAAAGTGAGGATTTTCTTCTCTCTCAGTGTACAGTGTGTACAGTGAGGTGAGGGTGTATTAATAAGGCTGGAAAAGTAATGCTGGAGCATAACGCACGGATGAGAGACAGACAGAGATACTGCAAGTTTGTATGTTTTTAGCATGGGCTTCGGCTCCCAGTAGCTCATGCTAAACAGGATAATGTCTTGTATTATAATTCAGGACGAATGCTACAATGTATATTTTCATTGATTGAATTTTTAGAAATGTCAGGGGACCCCATTTGATTTCCATGCGACTCCATATGGGGTCTGGAGCCCAAGGTTGGAAAAGCCTGCAGTAAGGTGTTGTCACTGCCTGGAGCTTGCATGTATGGACCCTAAGATCGCGGTCACGCTGCCAATGTTGTTGTACCGTGCTTAAGCATCACTTTTTTTTTAAACTTTTTCATTTATATAGGCCTATATGTTTTTTAATTATTGTTGAAAAATGTGATTGCAAAAATATTTAAACCATTATGCCATGTTGCTCATCCCAACCAGAAAGCCGGTGTTGAATAATGGATAGAATAAAATCTTTGATTGTCGATAGGGAACTTCCCATGGTGATATTGCTTAAAGGGTCAGTATGTAACTCTGACACACAGCGTTTAGAATGGGTACAGCAGTAAAACCACCAAAACGTGTGGGGGTGCCTTAAAACCGCTTAACTTCTTCTTAACAGATAATTCCTGTACGGAATCTAAACTTACAACGAGGACAAACTGGCTGCTGCATTGTTGTCAGAGAAGCAAACACTTCATCATTGCATGTTTCCAGAATGTCTGATAGAATATTAAGGTCATTTTATAATTCAATTCAGATATCTTAATATTGGTCCTTTAACAAGTTTCTAAACAAACTTTCTACTAGTATTAAGTCATCAGCATCAATTCTGAAACTGACCTATTTGTGCTCAGTTCTTCATACAGAAGTAAGTTTAAAATATGCACCCAGATCAGACACGTTCCTTCCTTTAGTCATGGTAGTCACATGCTTATTTGGTGTTATGCTCCTCCTTGGGTTTTGTGGAAATATATTGCCTGTGTGCTATAACCTTGGCCTTTTCTAACTGTTAACAATAAGCAAACTCTTCACTCCCATCTCCCTCAAAACAAGAACTTCATGAAAAACGCTTAAGGGAATTAGTAATGGCATCTGTCTTCATAAATCTTTTTGAACATTTTTAAGCATGAGGTGGAGCATGGGTTGAAGGTTATAGTACATGGAATGCGTTTCAGAAGATGAAACAGAAGAGCTGTTAAATGTTTACTCATTAAAAAAAAAACACAATGTAGTTGTTTTCATTATCTCCCCTTGTTCCTCTCTCAGGTATCATGGCCGGCTCCAACCGCTCTGGTGACCTGCGCGATGCTCAGAAGTCCATCCCTATCGGCACCATTGCTGCCATCACCACAACCTCTATAGTGTGTATCCTTCACCAAGTCGAGGACGATAAAACAGAAACTGTGTCGATTTGGAAGAGCTGATTGATCGAGGACTTTTATCTAACACTTTACAAGTTAGGATGCTTGGATCAACTGTATATTTCTTAACAGTGTTTCTACAGACATGTCCAGTGTGGTGCTGTTTGGTGCCTGTATAGAAGGAGTCGTTCTAAGGGACAAGTGAGTCTACTAAAGAGCTTAGCAACAGTAGTTTAGTCAGATTGATTCTGAGGGTCCGTTTGAATACTCCTTTTTGTTCATGCAATATTTGACTGTAAACTTGACAGTATTGTGTTGTAAACATACAAGCTTTGGAAACGAACAATGGTCCAGGGCACCTAACAAGTTCTCTACTGGGTGCCCTGACACACCTGTGCCTGATTACTGGCAAAATATTATAATTTCTCTTGTCTTGCTTTGCTATACATTTCTCTCACCCATGTGAATTTATATTACATTGGTCTTTTCTTTGCAGGCGGCTTTATTTGAAAAAACTAAATCAATTCAGCCAGTTGAGATGTCAGTGTCTAAAATTGAGAAAACTGCCTTGCCAGCAAATACCAGGGCATGGATTTTGGAAGGAGTAAAACATGTGTATAATACTGAGGTAGTTTAAATACGAGGTTGGTTATTAACATTCTGACCTGCAGGGAAACATACATTGAACATTTAACCACAGAAAATATATTCGAACATGAACCCTTTAAATGGTCTATTTAATGCCTCATATTAAAAAAATATTAAACATAAAACCCTGGTGTATAGAGCCCGTGAATATATTGAAAACATTTTAAACGTAAGACCCTGGGTGTATAGAGCCCTGGGAATATAGACTCGTCCCATTTTTCAATGTGACCATAGAACTCAAAAGCAACTCCAGATGTTAATATGTAGAAATATTTATTTCTTTTCAAAACCTTCAGTTAATTCATCATTTCCTACACAGTGATTCAATGCAGTTGCAAACCTGCAAAAAATACTGTTAAAGAATTCCTTTGCAATAAATGTCCCCTGCTTTCCAAAAATGTGTTTTCTTGACATGCAGAGAAACAGAAACAAGGGAGAGTGAGGCTTAGCCAAGGGTCACATCTTTAAAAAAAAAAGTACTATTGAATAAGTTATTTCAGTATTATATCTTGGCCTTACTCTACAGGTTTGGTGAAGGGGTCAATGGAAACCTGGTCATTGGGACTCTGGCATGGCCGTCTCCATGGGTCATTGTGTTCGGCTCCTTCTTCTCCACTTGCGGAGCGGGCCTCCAGAGTCTGACTGGAGCGCCACGTCTCCTACAGGCCATCTCTCGAGACGGCATCATCCCATTCCTTAGAGTAAGTACTCATTTAGGTTGCTTTTTAGTTTCTATAGCTATCTTGGTTAATCACAGTCGAGGATGTGATTAATCAAGATTAATTACAATTTTAAAAACCTGTTTTTACTTTTTAAACATTTAAAATACTGCAATGCAAAGACAGCTTGTATCTGTCAGGAGAGGGAGGGGGGGGGGAGTGAGGCGCAGGTGTGGACTCAGGGGTGTCTTAAAGTTATCCCATGAAGGATAACCACAACGATCACAAGTGATGGATTGCAGAGGGGAAAAAACAGACATTGTATAGAGCCCCAAAGAGCTTCCTAATATAAATAATGCACCGAAAATGAGGAACCAGACCTCTGCTGCCAAGCACCTGACACAAAACTATTGTCCAGAACCCAGAAAATGGAACAAAAAGCAAAGGCTGCCAGGGAGGCCCTTAACAGTTAACACAACACAAATGGCGTAGCAACCAAACAACCCAGCGCCCCAAGTTATACTCTGAGAGACTGTCAATAGGGAGAAAATACACAGAAAGTTATTTGATTGTGTTTATACTTTTACACACACAACAAGCTAAAACACAGGGGGGAACCTTGCACTACCTCTGAAGGTGAGATAATGCGTTAACAGACAGCACCAGAGACCCAGAGTTTATATAAGCTACACACACCTGGGCTTAATCAAAGCCAATCAGCCACACACACCTGACTGCAGTGAGGTAATCAATCTCACAGAGATGAAGTGAGTGCCTTCACACTCCAAATCGTTAGGCTTTTAGGGTGTCTCAAATTAGACTACATGTGGGGTCCAAGCAACCCTGGCCACATCCTGGACCCTTCCCTGCTGCACATCCAAAATAAACTGAGCCCATCCAGCTCATCGCGCACACCACTAAAGAGACGCCTATTACTAAACAATGTAGATACAAAAACCATCCAGACAACTACATTTGCCCCTGCACAATTTTAGACAGATGTTACCTCACACCCAACTTGAGCACATGAACATACTATCACTACCTGAGTGTTAATTCAATGAATGGCTTACATAGTGCAACAGAAGTAGCCTCTTTTTATGACTCCACATACTGATTAATGGATCATCAGTGTTCATGTGCATTGTGGTGAGGAGACAGAGGTTTCATAACAGAGAGCTGTGTGTTAACAATGCTTTGTTCATTCGCATATGAAGCAGGAAAGTCATATTATACATTTGCATTAAAAAATAATTAATGCATTAGGGTCAGTAGATTAGTCGCATCAGGTTGACAGGCATATTTCTTTTTTAGATTTAGCAATCCGTAATTTGACATATTTCAAATCCAGTCTAGCATTTGTGCTTTTATTCCCTAGAAAAATGTTCAAAATGTGATTTAATTCAACCCTTGTATGTTGCTGCAGGTGTTTGGGCATGGCAAAGCCAATGGGGAGCCCACTTGGGCCCTCCTGCTCACTGCAAGCATTTGTGAGATTGGTATCATCATTGCCTCCCTGGATGCAGTCGCTCCCATCCTCTCCATGTAAGTACGCAGTAACCTCTCACGCACTCTATGTTCCTTTCTGTCGAGTCCTGCTGTGATTGGGATCATTCTGTACTGTATGTCTTAGTTTTCACTTTGTTACTCTACCTCACACCCACATTCTGTCCTTCTTTCTTTAGGTTCTTCTTGATGTGCTACATGTTTGTGAATCTTGCCTGTGCACTGCAGACTCTGCTGAGGACGCCTAACTGGAGACCGCGATTTAAGTTCTACCACTGGTGAGTTTGGGTGGCTGTCTTGAAATAAACTAGACACATATAACACAAAACTATAATTGCATGAGTTCCGGTTTGAATTTCTAGCTAGAAGGAAAATGTTAAACCATGCAGAGGTCACCTGTGGTCACCTCTTTTCTGTGTCTCTTTTCCAGTATTACTTTAGCAGCAGCAGACTGAATTTGAAACATTTATCTAAGAGTTATCTGCTCAGATGTGTGGACGATATTTCAGTTAAGTTAGACCAAACCTGTGTCTTCCTGTCGTCTGCAGGGCTCTGTCTTTCTTGGGTATGAGTCTGTGTCTGTCACTCATGTTTATCTGCTCCTGGTATTACGCCATAGTTGCCATGGGCATCGCCACCTGCATCTACAAATACATTGAGTTCTGTGGGTAAGTCATTATCATAACAGCAGCCCTGAAAAACCACAATAATTAGATTGGATTGCAAAAACCTGAGTTCAATACTATGACAGTTGTTCTTGTGTAGTTGGATACTATTGAGTATTTACTTAACACCCGCATCATGTGTTATGTCCTGTGTCACAGAGCTGAGAAGGAGTGGGGTGATGGCATTCGGGGAATCTCGCTCAGTGCTGCACGCTTCGCTCTCATGAGGCTGGAGGAGGGACCGCCTCACACCAAGAACTGGAGGTCAGTGTGCACAGGTTTTGAGCAATAACTGATGACCTTATATAACCCATTGAATCTTTAAAAAAAAAAAAAAAAATTGGTGCTTTTGGACATTGTTTGTCAGGCCTCAGATCATGGTTCTGGTGAGTGTGGACGCTGAGCAGAACGTAGAGCAGCCTCGACTTCTCTCACTGACCAATCAGCTGAAAGCGGGGAAGGGTCTTACCATCGTCGGGACGTCGGTTCAAGGAACCTTCCTTGACAACTATGTGGAGTCCCAGAGGGCAGATCAGGTCCATTCTCTTATCCCTAAATATATACTACAAAAACATCAATACAGTTGATTACATTTATCACAGAATATGTAACAGGTGTCTCTTTCTCTGCATTTTGTTTTTAGTCTCTGCGTAAATTGATGGAGACGGAGAAGGTGAAGGGCTTCTCTCAGGTGGTCATCTCCTCCAACCTGAGGGATGGGACGTCCCACCTGGTCCAGGTTGGGGGACTGGGAGGTCTGAAGCACAACACTGTGATGGTCTGTTGGCCCAAAAACTGGAAACAGCCTGAGTACCACCAGCATTTCAGGAACTTCATAGGTACTACTGAAGTGACGAGTAAATGATAGATGTGTTGTACACTCAGAAAACTGCTGCTTAAAAAATTATATGCAAACTTTAATCGGACCACTGGGTTACTATGGGACAGAACTCACTGTTAGGTTGGAGTTGTTTCTATAGTCGATGAGCAATGATGAAATCGTGAAACAGACTGTGGATCATCTTAGATTTATTCAGCCATGGTCAGACAACATAGAAACAAAACACACATGTGGCTGACAAAGTGTGGACCATCGCTGACCCATGCTGACCAAGATCTCACAATCATTGGCAATCATTGGCAAACATTGGCCATCATGGGCAAAGTGGCAAAGTGTTCATCTTCACAGTGTTGCTTATATTCTGCTAGAAGGTACAGCCCACAAATTCCTGGCCGCTTCGTTACATCTCTAAAAGGCTAAAAAGAAGACATCACCTTGACTCGTAAATGTCAGACTCTCTTCAGTCTCAGAGTCACATTTCCTTTTCAGCTCACAACAGACACTTGGCTCCAATCCAACTAACTCTGCTGCTATGAGGTCTCTAACACATATGTATTACAGCTTCACAAACCTAAAAAAAAGAATTACTCTGAGCTGGTTGACACAATTTAAAGATATATCCACAAGATTATCAAGATGAATGAATTCATGAAAATACACATTAACACTCACCCTGGGTTAGTTTTACCCAAGTGAGGTATACCTTCCCCTGGCCCTCTATAATGCTCATAACAAACCTATTTTCCTCTCTCCCTCTGTAGAGGTGGTCAGAGAGACAACAGTTGCCAGTATGGCTTTGTTGGTCCCAAAGAATATCCACAGCTACCCGTCCAATGGAGAGCGCTTCACTGAAGGCCACATAGACGTGTGGTGGATAGTCCACGATGGAGGCATGCTGATGCTCCTGCCCTTCCTCCTGCGCCAGCACAAGGTGAGAAACGAACAACTGCTCACATCTGAAAAGGTTTCATGTGATACTGCCAGAAGTAAAACTTTTTTGTAAATAATAAACACAACTTACAAAGCACACAGTGTTCAAAAACATTAAGAAGGTGTTGATCATTTATGATTTAATGCTCCTGTTCTGTCTTGCAGGTGTGGAGGAAATGCAAGATGCGCATCTTCACTGTGGCTCAGATGGATGACAACAGCATCCAGATGAAAAAAGACCTCATCATCTTCCTCTATCACCTGCGCATCGATGCTGAGGTGGAAGTGGTGGAGATGGTGAGAGCCTCATGCGACTCTTGGTCTGAGTTCACACACAAATCCTGCGGGATGAAAGTTTTTGTTCTTCTAACTTTGTATTAAAAAATAGTTTTGTGTCCTTAGAGCAAAGCCAGATTTCTTACACAAGCATATTTTTTTTCCTTTATATGACTCATGTCTCAACACTTGACAGTTATGTAATAAATGTCTTTTCTTGATTTGTTCTGAAGCATGACAGTGACGTTTCAGCCTACACCTATGAGAAGACACTGGTGATGGAACAACGCTCACAGATCCTCAAACAGATGCATCTGACAAAGAATGAGAGGGAGAGAGAGGTAAATCAGAAACTTCAAAACAACTTTAGAAAATGGCAAAATTTTTTAAACCTGCTCTCATAGAATAAAGCAACCAACAAATGTAGTCAGCGGAGTCCACTTAGAACATGACTTTTATGTGGACATTTTAATTATCACTCTTTGGCTCTGTGGGAGGGAAGTGGTTTATAATAAGGTGTTGTGTTTGGACTCGTTTTCACTCTTCTAAGGGAGGGAATAATCAGTTCCAGAGGGAAATTACAAAATGACCCATATTCTTTTCCGTACTTTTGCACAACTACAGATCCAGAGTATTACAGATTCTTCCCGCGGGTCCATTCGGCGTAAAAACCAGCCCGGCTTGCGCTCACAGCAAAGCATGGAGGAAGCCAGCGTGGCAGAGAAACCAGAAGATGAGGTAATGCTGCATGTCCCTTTAAGGAGAAATGACCAGTTTATTGACTTCTCCCTCTCTCCTCTCTGTGCTCTGGCTTGGGCAAAATGATATTTCATCACAAGAGCAGCATATACAGCAACCTTTCACTCATTCCACCGGCTGCTCTATGATTGCCCTCTGGCTCCTGGCTCTGAGAGTTTCACCTTTTTACTGACAGGTGTCTCTTTTCTCTCTTTCACCCTGTCACACTGTCGCGTCACGGTGTCCCTGTCTCAGTCTGTGGCTGTCTCCAACCCTAAACAGGTACAGCTGATCCACAGCAAGAATGCAGCTTCACCCACCAGCCCCACCTCTCCTCCTGCGCCTGCAGACAAGGGACAGACAGCCAACGCAGAGGCGGGCAAAGACCTCTTCAACATGAAGCCGTGAGTGACCACTCCAGTTTCACTGCACACATAGCAGATAAAACTATAAATGTGCCCACAGGGACATGGGTCAGTGGTCAATATTTGTTCATACTGACCCGTGTTCCTGGGTTCAAACAGCTATTATCTTGGTTCTAAGCAAGTGACAAACAAACCTTTGAACTAAAGTTACACAAATAGTGTTAACTCTGTTGATTTCACAGCCTGTGGGCTGAATCTGGCGCTTTAAAAGCACCATAATCCTTTGCAATTAATAGAAATACGGAAAAAAATTCTTAAAAAATATATAGAAGAAAAAATATTTTTAAAAGAAGCTGTTCATGCAGATACACAAAACCTTTCTAGTACATTGTTTGAGTATTAGAAGATCATTATTTATAGAGGGTTACTTAAAAACTCATTGGTTACCAGTTTTGTTAAGCTCATAACAGCACATTCCTAAAATCTGGCTCTTTAAATAAATAAAGCGGCTGTATGATATTCACTGTTATTTCCATCCTAACATGCTGCTGCAGAGAATGGGAGAACTTGTAAGTATTTGCCATCCTTAGTGAGATATTCTGTATATGCTCTGAGCAGCAAAAAGAGTGATCTGTTGTCTTACCTCAATGTGGCAAAAAATGTTTCCCTCAGGAACCAGACAGACCTGAGGCGTATGCATACAGCGATGCGGCTCAATGAGGTCATCACCAAGAAGTCCAAGGAGGCAAAACTTGTTCTGCTCAACATGCCGGGACCACCCAAGAACCGCGTGGGCGATGAAAACTGTATCCTTCATAAAACACAGAACATTTACTCTGACTGACAGGTTCAGTGGAGTTCAGGTCCTTATTCAATCACAGACGGGAATACTTTTGAAGCAGGGCAGCATTAAAAAATAAACTAATAATTACTTTATTTATGAATAAATTAAAGCTCTGGTATTAACAAAGTGAAAATGAAGGTAGGGCAAGGATTACGTTGACACAAGAAAAGGAAAATGCATTTAGAAGAACAGACAACTTGCACTGTATCATATGTTAGAGATGTAATTGCACCTGCGGGACTAATGAAGCCTTTTGCTCCTGTTTTCTAGAAGCAGATCTTGGCCTGAGTTGAGACTTACTGAAAAAAGAGATGGTCAGGATTTTCTGTTGGCAACTTATATTGTCAATAAAAAAGAAGGCTGCTAGTGGACAGACATTTTACTCACAACATCAACAAAGTTTGATGATGTTTTTTTCTGTTTTCCTTCGTTTGTTTTGTGTCATTTGACACTTCAGATATTGAAAACCTCCCGCTTCACTGCATGTTTTAACATAATGCTTGGTGTCACACCTTCTTTTCTTTTCTTTTTTTACTTTCCTTCACTGTGATCGTCTCTCAGACATGGAGTTCCTCGAGGTGCTCACTGAGGGTCTCAATCGGGTCCTCCTGGTGCGCGGCGGGGGGCGTGAGGTCATCACCATTTACTCCTGAAGGGCTTTCAACTGCACCCACACAGACTTTACCCTCTCCTACCTCTGTGTCGTTTCAGGAAACAAAAAAATCCCCCCTCACCCTCCTTTTGTATATTTAACCTTTTAATGGTTACGCAGAGAATGATGCAGCAGGCTCTGTTCTCGACTTGTCAGCTGATTGCGACAGATGGTTAGTTCTTTCAGAGCAAACACATCTAAACACTTTACCTTTTTTTTATATGTAAGAGTAACGTTTTGTCCTTTTCACGTTGACCCTTGTCATTTGTAAAGAGGGGTGTTATAAGTATTTTCTTTAATTTATTATTGTTATTTATGTATTTATTCATCTTATCATGTCCGTCTTTGTCCTGGTTTTTTTCTCCTTGTCTTTCATTGTTTGTTTTTTTTGTCTTTAGTGTAAAAAGGGTGGAAGAAGAGGTTTGCCCATTCAGTACATTTACATCATCAACTGGAAATCTAGGCATATATCTCATTTACGAAGCAAAAGTGGAAGGCTTATATGTATACAGTATATTATAAATTCCCCAAAACGTATACAGTATATCATAAATTCCCCAAAACGTATACAGTATATCATAAATTCCCCAAAACACACATAGAGCAACTGGATCCACTAGGTTTACCTCTACTTTCCTTTTTTTTTAATCTCATTTTACTGCTCTAAGTCTATTTATCATCTATGTGAATGATGATATGTGGGATTTGCAGTTCACGCTCCAACCATAAACCATGTTCTCATTCCAGTCTCGTCTTTTATTATGGCAGGGATTTATCCATTTGTTTGTTTGTAAATTGTGCTTCACAGAACTAACAGAACTAAAAAGACAATGACTCGATGTAGATTATCATGATCCCTAACCCAATTGTTTACTTCATTATCCCCACAGCTGGATGTGGATCATAAAGACGCACATACACACGTTACACAATGTATGTGTCTCACTGTATTTCCCGGGAGCTCGTTTTTTTCCATATTTACAATTGATTAAAATATAAAACATAATTTATTATATTTATTTGCTCGTTTCGGTGTATCATTACAACAAACATATTTCAAGGGAATTATGTTACTTTTTTTTTAAAGTACAACATTTAATGTGAAGTTAAATATTTTTAATGAAAATCAGTAAAAGACGTCTATCAGTAAAATCATATATCAGAAGTTTTAACAGAGAGTATTTATTTTTATATAATTGTTAAGACAAAAGCTTTAGATACATTTTATTCTAATCATTTCAAATGTAATGCCGCGTTATCCGTTACTCCGTTATACACTATAATCTAATCCAACAGAACATGTATAGTTTAGAATAAAGTATGGAAGCAAAGCTTTTAATAGTATTAGTTGATGCTTTAACTTTTTGACCCTGAACAGATTTTAAAGAGTATGATCGTTTATATTTAATCTTCACCTTTAATAAATATTTCAACATTGGACAAATAAATTCTGCATCAACGTCTAGAATGAGAAATCCATAGCATTTAGTATGCTCCCCAGGTTATCATAAGACTTGTAAGTACTCTGACTTCCTTTAGATTAATTATATAAATATATCATTTATAACGTTGTTGGATATTCCTCACCTCATGACACACGTCTTTTTCTGTATATGTGTACATTTTCATGTTTCCTTTATTCCTCTGAAAAGTAACTATTGTTGTTGTTGTTTTTTTGTTTGACTCTTATAAAGGCATCGCAGTCCTCCAGTCGATTTATCAGTCACTGGTCTGCAGACATTTAGAGTTACAGTTTTAGACTGAAGTGTGCTTCTCTGTGTCTGTATGCTGTGTGTGCGTGAACCTGACTGAGTGAAGACAGTAAATGTCATTGAAGAGCGAGAAGATGAGACATCTGTACATAGATTTGTGATTTTAGGTTTAGAGACAACAAGTGTAATCTGTGTTAATACACTTTTTATAGATATAAAAATCAAAGGTTTGGATTGTCCTTTAACACATTATTTAGTTATTTTTGTTCTATTAAGTCTCATGCAATTATTAATGATGAATGGTTCAAAGAAACCAGATCAAATGTTGGCGCAATGCAATAAATTAAATAATTTTAATACAACTGCAATTCTGTTTATTGTTGTTTTTTATGTCAAACAGTTTGAGGTCAAAGAGTTTTGTTAATATTTGAATAATTATTTTCAGATGTCAACTGTCTTTTTCAGCATCACTAATCCCAGCAGTCAATAAGAAAGACTTTGTGAAAGCTAAACATTTAAAGGGCACAACTCTAATTTCAGTTTGTTACATGTGCAAGGCTGTCACTTTTTATGTTTCAGAACATCAAATTGTACTTAATGTGAGAGGAAGTATTGATTTTAAGTAATAGAAAACAAGTTACCAGATTGATTGATTGATTGATTGATTGATTGATTGATTGATTGATTGATTGAGTGATTGATTGATTGATTGATTGATTGATTGATTGATTGATTGATTAATTGATTATTGATTGAAACTGACTTGCTGGTGGCATTCAGGACCAGTTAAAGCATTTTTTTTAAAGGATAATGAATGTCAGTAAAAAAATGTGATGACAAAATATGGCTCAACATTGTGTATGAGGTTTGGACTGATTTCTCCACTGTACTTTGAACAAAAGCAAAACAAAACCCTTTTATCAGCTGCAGAGTTAAGAGAAAGATAACTTTTTATTACAGCTAATTTCTTAGAAAAAGACACAAAAACAAAAAGTGCTTACTTCATGATACTTTTCCATATTTCTTCATCTGCCCTGTCAATAATACTCTTTTCTGAACTTTGATTTGTAGTCTGAAAGAGCAATTCGAACTCTGATCGAACCCATTAAGGACAGAATTATGGGAATATTTAAATTATTATTTTAATGAAGGTCTATCAAATGTGTTTTTATGATACTAATCTTTATCAGGGAAACCCCCTTTTGTTGTTAACACTTGTAAACAGTGAGGTGGGCACACTTTATCAAACTGGCCAATGGGGATTTGCATTGTGCAGACCACAGAAACGCTGATGTATCACTACAGTTACAGATCTTTTACAATGACCAAAGTCCTCACAGCAGGGTTTCTCTCTGAGCTGAACATTGCAAGCTCGTTTGTTTTTTCGAGAGAGGCTTCACCAAGGCCCCTGAACTGTCTTATCTACATAGAGATAAACCTTACTACAAAAGAAATGACTGCCATTTGCTCCAACAAGATATCAGGATGAAGACGCAGTCAGCCAGCCTTCGAGTGAAGTTACCATTGTTTGTTTTTGTTATAGAGGTGGTTATGGTCACCTTGTATGCTGCTTTTGTCACCTACGATGAGCATGCAGACGCCAGATTTCAGACTAACAAGACCAACCCCATGGACAATGCAGTGTACAAGGACTACCCTTTTTTTACCGACATACAGGTCATGATATTCATCGGCTTTGGCAGCCTACTGGCTTTTTTCCGATTGTATGGCTTTGGAGGGATGGTTTTTAACTTCCTCACTGCTACTTTTGCAATCCAGTGGGCCATTTTGGTGCAGGGATACTTCCAGTTCAGCCATGACGGTAAGATCCACCTCGGTGTGATCAACCTTATAAATGCAGAGTTTGCCTGTGCTGTGGTGCTGATATCTTTCGGGGCAGTGCTGGGAAAGACCAGTCCATTGCAGCTTCTGGTCATGGCCTTGTTGGAGGTGCCGGTGTTTGCTGTTACAGAATGGGTTGTGCTCAAGTATCTGAAGATCAATGATGCTGGAGGTTCTATTCTCATCCACCTCTTTGCATGTTATTTCGGCTTGGGCGTGACTTTTGTTTTGTACAGGCCTTGCTTAAATGAGGGCCATGCAAAGGAGAACACCAGCTACCAGTCTGACATCCTCGCCTTGATGGGGACTTTGTTTCTCTGGGTGTTCTGGCCTTCCTTCAACTCAGCATTAACCCTGAAAGGAGACGACCAGCACAGAGCCATCCTGCACACCTTCATCGGCCTCAGCGCCTCCACGCTCACAGCTTTCGCTCTCTCTGCCATGCTGAACAAGAACGGTAAGCTCAGCATGGCCGATATTCAGAATGTGACCCTGGCTGGAGGCGTGACTGTTGGAGCATCTGTGGATATGATGATAACTCCTGCAGCTGCGTATGCTTTGGGTATGATGGGCTGCACAGCCTGCATGCTGGGATATAAGTACCTGAGCCCCTTCCTGGCACGGCGCCTCAGGATCCAGGATCAGTGTGGGATACATAATTTGCACGGTCTAACAGGACTTATATCTTGTGCTGCAGGGATATGTGCAATACTGATTGCTAGTGAGGAGGTGTATGGCCCCAGTTTCTATGAGATCTTTGCTCATAGAGCGCCAGTGGAAGGAGACCCAAAGCTGCAGGAGCTCCAGATGTTGATTCCAGGTTTACAGCCAGGGTTGGGGAGGACAGCTCAGGAACAGGCTCTCTTTCAGGTTGCAGCTGTGGTCTCCACCATTGGAGTGTCAGCGTTTGGTGGACTCCTCACAGGCTGCGTTTTGAAGATGCCCTGCCTCTCACCTCCATCAGATGATTTGTGTTTTGACGATGAGCTGTTTTTTGAAGTCCCTCCTGACTATGACTCACCCCTTAGACTGAAAAACATAGTGACAATGAATGATTCAACTGACTAACTGCAAAAGAATTGTGTGACTATTTGAAATGTTTACATTCATTACAATGTAAATAAGTTGAGGTCAATGATAATCATTTTTATCATTTATATCAGTGTAGCACTGTTGAATAAATCTAGGAGTGGTGTTATTTCTTGTCCTACATGCACAAATGTAACATAATGAATGTTAGGGCGCTCATGGGCAATTCTAATCAAGTACCTGGAGTAAAATAATTATTTTTAAAGGGATGACTTACTGAGCCATGTCATTGCTTACATGTACCAAGATCATCTTATGCAGTTCTTTAGATTCCCATGTGTTGCCATTGTTTACTGCCATATTATTAACAAGTGAGAATGCTGAGCTGACTGAGAGCTGACATCTTAGAATGGCTTGTAATCTGCAGTTGAATGCAGATATGTGTTTAAAGACATATAATAAAGTTAAATTGTCATGAGAAGACCGCTGGGTTTTTAGAATTGCATTATGGTTGACTGTATTCTGCCCCTTTTGCTCTCCACAGTTTTCCTTCATATACAGCCAATGACCTCTTCAATGCTCGTGGACGATACTATACAAAAAAAAGGCACACATTTCTAGTTCTGCTGCCAAGGATGACTTATTTTTTTCTTTGCAGACTCTATAGATAAAAGTAAAAGCAAAGGTGGGGACCACAGAGCCAAGCTGAAAACAACCTGGTTTTGAAGCTCACCAAGCTGAACTTCGAGACACAGAGAACATCAGCCACAACGCTGATTAATTTACTATTAATCTGATTGGGATAGATGGAGGTACAATTTAAAAGCAGCTCAGAGTAACTTTACAGAGTGTGCACATTTTATTTCAATTTGTTTAATTATTGTTAAAATAAACATTACAAGGTAAAAGTGAGAGGAGGACATAGAGACAATAGACAAACAATGTAGCCTACAATACGAACAGTAAGGGTTACAGTTATGTATGGATGATAGGACAGGTCTGGGATTTAGAGATATAATACTGGTAGATGAGCAAAGGAGGGGAGAGGGAAAAAAAAATATTTATAAAAAAAATAGAACAAAATAAGAAATTATGAATTATTGTAATAGATCAATTGGTATTTTGGTTGAGTATGAACTGAAGTAATGATATCCATCAGTGTTAAGTAGATCTGGAACAGTTTTCATCTTCACATTTTAATGTTTATATGTTACAAACTCAAACTGTGAAGAGGGAGAATAAACATAAACAAACAAAGCTTCAAATTTCTACCTTAAAATTGATAAGGATAATTTACTTGAGAGCCAACCTCCTGATTCATGGTAACACAGTTAACACACATGCGCATTAGGGTTGACAAGTTTCAGGTTACATAATTTACATATTAAGCAAAACTACAGGTCTGTTGGGCAGTGGGGGGCAGGGGGCATTTACTCTAAACTAACAAAGAATGGAAGTTATCGGCCAGAACAAAAAAAAATTATGAACAATATTTTAAAAAATTATTTAAAAATCAAATAATAAACAATAAAATAATGTAACAGGCTGGCTATTACACATGAAACAGATGGGCACCCAATTTCTTGAACTATAAAGGACACACAAAGAAAGATTGGGATGTGTGTATGTGATGCTATAAAATGTGTTTTAAAGCTTCGAAACATTTCATTTAAAAATCTCTGAGCGATATTATATAGCCTAGCCTACGTTTTTGTTGTTTCTTTTTAAACTAAAATGTATATTGATGATAGACTGTGACCTCCTGTAAACCATACAATTTAACAGTGAGAGTGGTGTTCTAATAATAATAATAATAATAATAATAATAATAATAATAACAACTGTGGCTTAAAGTTTTAGAGGACACTTTTAGATTCAGTTCACCATAGACTGTAAGTGTGGTAAAAAAAAAAAAAAGAGAGAGTTTCAGAAAAAGAGCGTTGAAATGCTCATAAGCGCCAGTAGGTGGCAGTAAGGAGAACACACATGTTGCCGCTGCCGTAAAAAAAACAAAAAAAAAAAACCTCAATGTACCGGAAGACAACGAAGAAGAAGGAAGGCGAGCATTTTGATACCAGGCCAAATCCTGCTACAGACACTTGCTAACAGAGGAAAAGGTTAAATAACATCGACAATTTTGATAACATCCTAGCTTTCTGTGATCTGCCTAGAAGGAAGCGTCGAAACGCATCTCTTCACTTGCACATTTTCCGTGATTTCTTGACGTCGGTACATCATTTCATCGATTTAAAAAACGGTAACGTCGATGTTTGCTAAAAAAAAAAAAAAAAAGCTAGCTTGCTGCCGCGGAAACGCCATGTTGGCTCTACGGTTAACTTAGCGCTTGTTTTCCAACCGTGAAACTTGGCCTGCTGCAAACAATTTAAAGTAGTTAGTCCCGACGTGGTTCGCTTATGCGCATTTCTAATGGTTTATGTGCATTCACGTATGTCGTAGTATCACCTGGCGCAGTGGTAAAACTATTAAAAACAGGGGT